GCCTGTGCCCATCGCCCTGTCCCTGCACCGTCCCCATGACCCTGTGTTCCTGCTCCTTCTCTGTCCCCACGATGGGGACACCCTGGTGACCCCCATCCGTCCCCTCAGCAGATCCTGAGCACAGTGGAGGCCCAGGCTCCCAGCACCCCGGGGTCATCGGGCTGCGGCCCTGTCCCCATAGCCGTGCCGGTGGTGGCAGTGCCAGGGCCAGGGGTGGCGGCCGCGCTGACCAAAAGCCCCCCCCCGGCCCCTCCCATGGCCGACGACAGCAAAACAAACCTGATTGTCAACTACCTGCCCCAGAGCATGAGCCAGGAGGAGCTGCGGAGCCTCTTTGGCAGCCTTGGGGACATCGAGTCCTGCAAGCTGGTCCGCGACAAGGTCACTGGTATGGGATGAGGGACAGGAGACAACGGGGAGACCAAGGGACATGGGGAGATGGGACACAGGGACAGGACATGGGACACAGGGACATGGGCAGATGTGGCATGAGGAGGTGGGACAGGGGACATGGGGACACGGGACACAGGGAGATGGGACACGAGAACCTGCAGGGACTGGGTCAGGGACGGACATGTGGATGGGATCGTGGATGGGATAACTTCAGCAACCTCTTTGGGGATGTCAGGTCCTGCAAGCTTGATCCCCAGTGATCCCTGGTACAGGGAGGTGGGGGCATAGGGGACAGAGAGCACAGGGGCAGAGAAGAAGATGGGATGGAATGGACCTTGGGGACAGGAGTGGGGTAGGAGCAGGGACTGGGGGTGGGGACAGGGGCCGTTCTTGCTGCTGATTCCACCCCCTCCCCCAGGACAGAGCCTGGGCTATGGCTTCGTCAACTACGTTGAGGCAGGAGATGCTGACAAGGCCATCAGCACCCTCAATGGCCTCAAGCTGCAGACCAAGACCATCAAGGTGACAGACACTGGAGTGCCTTTTTTTGCGGGGGAGAGGTGGATGCTGGGTCCCTGGGTGTGGAGTTGGGCACCAGGGGATCCCTCATGGGGAAGGGGGAGATGCTGGGGTCCCTCGGGGGAGAAGTGGGCACTGGGGGTGTCCCTTGGGGTAGTGGACGCAGGGAGGGGTTCCTTGGGGTGGTGGACACCAGGGGGTCCTTTGGGGTGCAGACAGAGGTCTGCCCCCCCCCGGGGAAGGGCCATGGCACCCAGACAAGAGGTCCCCAGGGTTGACCCCTCCCCTCGCCCCCCCACCCAGGTTTCCTACGCCCGGCCCAGCTCGGCCTCCATCCGCGATGCCAACCTCTATGTGAG